AATATGCAGAACACAAATACTAATATTGATTAGTATTGCTATTCGTACTCCTACGCATATCAATAATCATATTCATATTGACAAAAGTGTATATTAATACCAATACTAACACACACCTGTATGTACTAATGTACATAAATATGCATACCACTATATTAAATATAAATCCTTTAACTCACTCATGTATTCAACTGTTAGAATTTCACGTGATCAAGAGTAATAATAATACAAACATTCTTGCGAATGTAGATCATCATTAATATTCTAGTACTAACGCTAACACTACTGCCAATACTTAACACAAAATTTATACGAACATCAATATTTACACAGCTATTGATACTCCTACGAATACGAATACGTAAGCTTTTGTGCGTTAACAGTAGTGCTATCACCAACACTAATACGGACTTTGATAATCTGCTGAATATTCAAGAATGCCACTAGTATTACCAGCATGAACACTCATATTATGGCTAATACAAGTATAAATTGTCCTAATTCTAATAATATTGACATTATTACTCCTACGAATACCAATAGTATATTCATATTGATATGAAAGCTAATATCATTACTAATAGACACCTGCATATACTTTGTACATAAAATACATACCACTATCTTAAGACACAGATATATGCATCAGTGCATTCATGTATTAATGCTTTGGCATAGGCATATAGGTACAAGCCTTATTCCTCAACTTCGCGCGGTTCCGTCAACCAAGATTCCGTCAACCGCGCTTCCTTCAACCATGATCCCCGCTTCCCTCAACTCAGATTGTGCCGATTCTTTCAACCCCCATTGCCCGCTTCCCTCAACCCAGATATTGCCGATTCTGTCAACCCCCATCGCCCGATTCCATCAACGCATACTGTGCTGATTCCGTCAACTCCGCCCCCCGGTTTTCCGTCAACCCTACGGTGTTGTCAACGCATCTCGGCCGCTCTGTTGCCAGTCTCACATTCAATAATGCAGCCCTTACCCTCAAGCAATATCCGGCGCCAGTCGCAATGCGGTGTGGGTGGTTAGGGTTGAGTGAGTCCTCGTGGTTGGGGTAGCACACGTGTCTGTAGTTGGAGCGACTCTTTCTGTATGGGTTGAACGAAGCAGTCGTGAAGGAATCATTCCCGGGGCCATGCTTGAGTGAATCTCCGTGCCGGGGTTGAAAGAATCAGGTTGTGTATGGGTTGAACGAAGAAGTTCTTTGGGTTGAAGGAATCATTCCCGGGGACATGGTTGAATGAATCTGCGTTCTGAGGTTGAAGGAATCAGGTTTTGAGGTTGAAGGCATCCGCGTTTTCGGGTTGACAGAATCCGCGCGCAGTGGTTGACGGAATAATCGGCGAAAAGTTGAAGGAATCCGCGCGCGCGACCTAGGCATATAGGCATATACCAATGTAACAATATAATTCTCGTTGTTGTATGAAAATATTATACGAAAATGTGACTATACTCATATACGACTACTGCACTATGCAAGAATACCGACATGACAAGTTCGTATACTAATATGCCAACATACTGATATACTTGTAAATGATTAGATAAAACAGTAATATAGTACACATACTCGTATACTAATATGTTAACGTACGAATATACTGGTATGTCAACATACTAGTAAGCTAATACAGCAATATAGTAGTGTATTCATGCACCAGTTGTACTGTAGTGTATTCATGCACCAGTTGTACTAGCATGTAAAATATACTAGTATACAAGTATGCAAATATTTTACTGTTCGAATACATTGATGTATTGATATACTAATCTGCTAATATACGAGACTGTCAATATACTAACATATCAAAACTAACTAGTTCTAATATTGATACTAATACTAGCACTTCTGCGAATATAAGCTGCTGTTAAACCCAGCATTAAGACTGATACTGATACTACTCGTAGCAGTGGTGCTGTATTACTGACATTGACACTGGCACTAGCGCTAACTCTAGCACGAACATGAGCACTAACACTAATTTATAGTTGGCAATATTGATATGTATACTTACAGCAAACAGTAGTACTAATATTAATAATAATACTCACCCTAATACCGATACTACCACAAGACTATTACGTAACTCGTGTGCCGCACGTCTGGTGCTATACTATGTACCTCATGTAAAGGTTTTGCTTCATAGAATATCGTCGTGCACTGTGTTTTTTAGACCCGCGGTCTGTCAACGGGGGGGGGGGGTGAGCATATGTATATATATATATACACACATAGTTACATTTATACGTGTAGTATTGTGTTGTTCTACACTCGCAGGCTTGTTTTGGTTTTCCCTTACATCTTCCTTGCGCCAGGCTGGCGGCCACGGCCGCGGGGAGCCTTCCAGGTGCCTGTACACGTTTGCTGCGCCTCTGCAACCACCCCAAAAAACTGGAACCTTCGACGGTTTAGGGTCTTGCGGGGTCTAGGGTTTCGGGTTTTCGGGAGGCTACTAGTATCACGGGGATCCTCTTGGACTAGGGATCTTTCAGATCAGGATCCTACTGAGTTGCTGTGCAGGATCCACATGGGCAAAAACTATTTCCCTAGACTGTTCTCGCTTGCCTTCTTTGAAGCCCCAGGAGCCAAAGCTGGGTGTATGGAGCGAGAGCCCCAAAGTATCCCGAAGTCAAGCAGCCCTAAACCCTCGTTTCACCTCAAACAAGCATTTGCGACTCTTGCCTCCCCTCCCCCACCCGAACCACTGAAGCCTCTCCATCCTAAACCCAAAACCCCAATGGCCCCAATTCCTAATCATCCTAATCCCTCAGCCCTCACTCCTAATCCCTAAACCACCCTAACTCCCAAGCCCTAAACCCCATCCATCCTTACGTCCAAATGCTTCGGCTCTTCGCCAGGATCGGGCACCCAGTCCGGGTCGAAGCGCCCCGGCCTCTCAGGCGGTCCCAATCTCACGGCAGTTCTTTCTGAGGGTCTCTGAGGTTTCTATAGGGTTTAGGGTTTAGGGTAGCTACAGCTAAGTCAAACCGAGTTTAGGGGACTTGCTGCACTGTGGGTCCTTTGGCAATTGGGGATGCACAGAGTTCACGTCATGCGCGCCATCTAGGCTTTGGGAAGGCATTGTACAGTCGGGGGAGGGTCTCGAGTGCAGAGTCCAGCCACGCAGGCCAAGGCAGCGGCGAAGCCAAAGGCAGCCCAAGCCTACAGGCGAGCGCGTGCGCAGACAGCAAAACAGAATTTCCGTCCCTAGACCCAAGTTCGGATCACAGGCAAAGACGATCCTCCCAACAAAGCCATCACCTTGTTGCACGCGTTGAGCATTTCTATATGCTGACAAGCTCGGCTTCAGACCGCCCGGCGCTCGGGCTGGTGGCGGCCTTGCCGACCTCCTACGCAAGGCCAGCCATGCCCCGTGCTCCAATCTGCTGTTGAGTTGCCCCTTCCTCTTCAGAGGGACCTCGGCAAGCCCACTTTGTCTATGCCCTGCCTCTCCTACGCCTCTGAGGGTTCCTGCAGGAGCTGGGCTCCACGTCGGCCGATGCAGCCACAACTGCAACAAAGGCGGGCCCGGAGCAGTCTGGCCCAGTAGCGGTAGCGCAAGACGCACAGGGGGCCTTCGCATCCCTTATAAGTCTTGTTGTAACTTGCCTTGTCAATATTATCATTAGTTATTATCATTACGATTACAACGATTACTAGTACTATTACTATTACCATCTCTTCGTTTTCGGTTTCTCTTCAGTCGACAAAGCCAGCAGGTGGGTGCGCCGACGGCGGCGCCGATCTCTTTACCTCCTGGAGCCTCTGCAGAGGACTTCCAGAAGGCCCTTCCTTCCACTGGTGCTTAGTAGGGTAGTAGTCCCTATGTATTCCCCAAGACAAGTCCCTGTAATCCATTCCCCCATTCCCTACGAAGCACCAGGGAGTCCTTCCCTTCCTTTTGGGCCCTTCTTTGGCGCGGAATTTTGTGAGGTTTTTGGAGTAGAGATAGTATGGAAGGGATTCTTTCAACGATCTCATGATTAGAGTATAGATCTCATCAAAGCACTTTCCAAGACAGGAGCTTTGCCCACGCTTGGAGCCATGTAGACTGAGATTTCCTCACTTTGGCTTGCGCCTGCCTTGCAGGGTAACCAAGGAGGCACTGGCAGCGGGGCCAGCCGCAACGCAAGGAAGAAGAAGGCCACTGCGCCGTCAGCGATGAACACTGCACGGTCATTGAAGACACTGCCTAAGACACTTCGGTTCCGCTTTCGCTCCCACCAAACTTCTTGTTGCATGCGTTGCACATGCTGCAGGAGCACGTGCCACTACTTGGCATCTGAATTCAGTCAGAGGTTTACACCCAAGCTTCTTTCAAAGCTAACCCTGGCAGCTAGCATCAATGTCATTGTGCGTTTCGCAGTGGGGGCGTTTCTAGGCTGTTCACGACTTTGAGTTTCCGTTAAAGCTGACATTCCGCTTTCATAGTTTCAGATCAGACATTGAGATTGGCGAAGGGCTCTGCCGCGCTGCCACTTCGAGAAATCGCCGTCAGTCCTGACCTCTCAACCTCTTGCTCAATCGTGAACTGCAGGTCTGCTTCCCGCCCTGCCCTGAACTCTAAGCTGCAATGTACTTTAGAGCCTGGACTACTCGGCTCTATCAGCAAAGCAAACTCACGGCGCTAGCGGTAATACTTAAGAAGCGCACGAAGGCGAAAGAGGCTGCTGCCCAGGCCGGGCAGCGGGAAGCAACTGCAAGAAGATGTCAAGAGAAGATTATGTCAAGATGAGTTTGCACAAAGTGTTTCGCTGAGTTGCAGAGTGTTCCAGGCTGCAGAATAATCTTGCTTCGTTGGTGCCTGCTTTGTGGAAGGTACTTGCGACTTGGTACAGGAACGAACAGATCAGTTCTCCAGACAGTATACTGCATCTTCAGATCTCCGAGCAAGACCATCTAAGGTGAGGCGCCGACTATGCAGACCAAAGATATACAGTTTAGCTGCATACAAACTGTAGGTGAGGAATTGTGGTAAAGACAAGCACGTGGCATGGAGGCAGCACCCGAGCCCGATGTGGAGAAGTTCGTGCCACCTGCGCGGACAGGTGCCTGCTTTGAACGGTTGCAATGCTTTGTGCTGGTGAGATTCCGTAACAGCAGTGCAATTCTCCCATTGGCCGAAGTCTCAAGGATGGTGAATCTGTACATCCGCTTGGTGGCAACAGCTTAATGTGTGCCTCATGTAGCTGACCAAACGGTCAGCTCCGGTCACATCGTCATACCTGCCTGAATCTGTAATGTTTGGGCACTGTTCGCCCAAAGAGCGAAGTGCACGACTTGGTGTTCGTGGGGCAGGCGACGCAAAGCCGGCGCCATCAGCGGGCACGGCAGAGTCCCTGGAAGCCGCCGGAGGCAAGCGATTCCCTCAAGAAGAGCCCACGTGGTCCCCGGCACAAAAGCTCCAGAAGACAAAAATGTTTTGCTTCTCTGGAAGGCCTTGTCTGTAGAGTTGTAGGGTGGAGCACAGATCTCAGCAGCGCCTTGTGACTTGCCTAGCAGTGCTAGCAGCATCGAGGGTTCCCAACAGCGACGTGCTGGCATTTAATGGTGATCTCATTCTGTACACATTGTGTATCAGCAGTGTTGCCCGTCAACAGTACGCTCGGAGTAGTCATTTCTGTCAGTTTCTGCACTGATGCACCTGCGGTGTGAAGCCGACGCCTCATGGTGTGAGACAGGGCAGCTTTGGGATACATCCGATACTTCACAACTTATGTCAATCTGCCCAGCCCCATGGCATCAAGACACCCCAGACGGTGTGGACAGGTGACGAGGTGGAGAAGAAGGTCCGCGCGCTGAGGTGTCCTGGCGACCTGAGAAACTGCGGTTCAAGACCTTGCCACAGGCCACAGGAACTTGCTTCAGGGTGTGTCGTCCCAGGAAGAAGCTGCGGGACATCGAGAAGCTGAAAGAAAAAGTCGGCTCCCCGTTTGTGCACGTCTCCGGCAGTGTCTTTCGAAGCGAGCCGGGGCAGCCGGAGTGCGGAGGTCGCTACAGGAGCTCCCATAGACCTGCTGCAGAAGCAGAAGCTCGACGGAGAGGCCGAAATCATCCAGCAGAGCCTTGGACTGTTGGATGATCTTCCCTTCCGGGAGCCGCAGCCAGCCTTCGTTCCATTTTGAATGCGCTTTTTTGACGTCTGTTTCACCTCAAACTCAGGATTCGCTCACTTGGAGCTGAGCCGTGACAGGGCAGCACGCCACTGCGCAGCCGGAGTGAATGTGGGCTCGACCAAGTACGAATAAGCAAACTTGCAGTTTGTTGTGGGCATCTAAGCCAGGTCCCCACATTCTCCCGGTGCTAGCACAAGTTGCTATCAGCCTGCGCTGCATGGAAAATGCCTCACCTGCCAAATGGAACTTCAATTCGCAGCTGCAGCGCTTCAGTAAAGGTTTTCAGCGTTCAATCGAATCTATTTCCCCAGTGTCCGAGGCCAAGATCATCCGCGGCCGCTCTCGGCTACAGCATGTGGACCTCAGGCTCAGACTTGCTGGAAGGGCTTCTGGCCTGGGAACAAACGGGACGGACGTTCCAGGTTGTTTCCCCTCTGGTGCAGATGACAGTAGTTAAAGCGGAAACAGCTGGCGATCCACTAAAGCTCAAGATTAGCAATGGCTCTCAGCAGACTGAATCCAATGAGTTTATGCATAATCTGGGAAGGAAAGAGTCCTGAGTCGCGCGAAATTGAGTTGTGTGCCTCGTGTGCTCTGCAGGCATAACCGCATTGGTGACGTTGGCAGCAAGCGCCTGTCCAAAGCCATCAAGGCGGGCGGACACTCGAGGGCATCCGCACATCACCTCCGTTCATCGTCTTTTAGCGAAAAACTGCAGAAGGGAATCACTTCCTGCTCGTTTCAGTGGAGCCCAGGGCCATCCTTCGTTGGAGCAGTTGGATCTGCAGGACTCGAAGCGAGTCACACACCTCGAAAGCTTTGGTGCGGTTGTTAGAGATTTGGGCATCGGATGAAGATGGCGAATGCAAGTAAATCGTCCCAGTCGCCGGAACGGCATCATTTTCATGTTGTTTCGACCGCTGTATGACTCTTCGTCCAATTTCCTGCTCTCGCAGGACAATGCCGTGGCAATAGCTGGTGCGGAGAGCTTGTTTGCTGCCTGTGGGAAGAGGTCAGGGACCAGTCGAACGGCGCGCAGCGAGAAACCATTGCAAAGTCACTTATCATCTGCATGCAATCGTGCACAGTGGCTTCTAGGAAGCCCTTGGACAGGCTCGAATTGAACATGCAGAATAACCCGGTGCCTCCGGAGAAGATCACCCAGCTGGGGGCATCCTTGAAGGAGGCCACAGAGTATCTTTTGACACACGCAGAAGTGATTGAGGGGATGCAGCAGAGGCCGAGAGGTCAAGAGCCGAATAAGAAGTGATCGCTATCGTTCTAGGTTCAGCCTCACAAGCAGAAGTTGTTTGTCCCAGCGCAGACTTGCTACTCCATGCGGTAAGTTTGCAGCGCATCATCGGCACCAGCCACCGCGCGCTGCCAGGCGAGGGAAAGGCTTCACCTCACGGCTTTCGGTGGAGGACCTCCAGGCGAGGTCCAGGTGTGCGCTTCAAATCCCCGAAGTTGCGGCATTTGGAAGCCTGCAGCCAGTGAATCTCTTCAGGGCGGACGGTCGATGTTCCTTCTCCGTTCTCTGGCTTTTTGGCGTTTTCTAAGAGCTGCAACTTCCACACGGAGAGCATTTCTCACGGAACTCGTGCGGCGGAGGTTCTGCGAAGGGGACTTTGCGGCCGCCGCGGTCCCGCGAGGGCACTGGCGGCGGTGGCGGTGGGAGGAGCCCGGCCGGACGGAGCCCAGCGCAAAGCACCGCGCGGAGCCCGGCGCTGAGCGCCTCGCGGAGCCCTGCTCTGAGCACCGCCCAAAGCCCAGCGAGGAGCAGGCCCGGAGTCCGGAAAAACGGGGAACGATTCGACGATTGGGGCGCTTTAGAGCGCCCGAACTCTGCACTGTCTCCAGGGCTTCCTCCTTTTTGCCTGGGATATCGAAAGAGGAGATTGGCTGAGCATGGCCGCCGCTGTATCTTAAAGATTGAGCAGCCCCCAAGGGGTTCAGTTTAGTCTCTTTTTGGCTTTGGAGCCTGCTGCGTTCTCTACGAACTGTCTACCTACAGTTGTATAGCGGGTGGTGCCAGTACACAGCATAATTGAACCCGTGACTGTGTGGTATGTCGCAGCGAGATCAGAAGCTGCGAAGAGCACTGCGATACCCAATTCCCAGCAGACTCCGCAGCTGTCGTAGCCATATTGCGCCCAGACTGACAAGTGCCAAGCACAGTTCTTTGAGTGCATGTACTAGCAGATCGTGATCCTGGAGGTTCACTACGCAAGAGATTGTTGTCGTATACTCTCAAGCTATGTATCCTTGGCGGCACCTGCAAGCTTTCTGTTCCTGTGAACCTCCGGGTCGAATTCCGGCGGCAGTTTGGCTGCCCAAAATTATCAAGTTGCGGTGAGCAATGCCGTTTGAGGCTGCGTTTGCTGCGAGTGACTATGTTCCCAGGCCAGGGGTTCGGCAAGCGCCGAGACTTCAGAAGCTGTCCAAACCCTTCACTCGGGGCTGAAAACTTCCCCTATTGTTTTTTGGTTTCCGCTCTGCAAACTTTTCCATACCTTTCCTTGCACGACAAGATGGGCCTCAGAAGTGGCAGGGAGTGGAGCTCGCCTATCGGATGCAGGCCCATCTCCAGACCTGCGCGCATGGCCTTCCAGCCAAGCCGGAGTCTGGCTGCATCTGCGAATCAGCCATCGAGAAAAGGGCGTCCCAGACAGGAAGAGGAAGATGAAAAGGGTACGCGGAATGAGCTGGGCATCAAGCGCTTGCGTTGCATAACTCAGGAATCCTTGAAGTTCATTGAAGAGGAGAAGCACGTCTGTCAGTCGAGCGGAAGAGAGAGAGCATTGACACGGTACTGCTGGCAGTTTGTGGCTCTGGCTTAGGCTGAAGGTAGGCAGAGATGTGCTAGCTGCGTTGGCCAACGTTTGCAGACCTACAATAGATCCACCAGATGTCTCACATGATCCATGATCAGGCAGGCCAAAGAGAGTATAGAGGTAGTTTCCAGCTTGTCTGCGGGTGGTGACTTAGCAGCTTGTGCAATGCTCGGGCCATGGTTCGGGCCAGCTTTTATTGACCAGGTGCCCCCTACAGAAGGGGTCTCTGGGAGCAGCTTCAGCTCGAAGCCGTCTTTGCTCAGGTGCATTCTGGTCACAAGGCGCGAAGTCAGGGTGCCTCGGCAGGAATAACTTGGGCCTAGTGTCCAGCACATGCTGCCTAAAGCCTCCTTCCTCTTGCATTGGAAGCCGTCGTGGCTCAAGTAAGAGTCCTGAGACCACAGCGGTCACCTATGATTCGGCCGACCAGGGGCCGGGGAGTTCTTCTGATAGGCTTGCTGCTTATTTGCCCGGGCATCTCCTTCATGCTGCCTTCACGGACTTGTACATCCTTGGGTCGGCGAGCCCTCTTGCTTGGACCCCTGCTCCTCTTTCCACAAGCAGCTTTCGCTGCTCGAGATGGCTTCACGGAGACGAGCTCGGGTCTGCAGTACAAGGTGGGAGTTTCCGAAAATAGGGGACCCTGATATAGCACCCTGAATAGTAGGATCCTTATCATAAGGACTCGAAATAAGGTGCCCCGAATTTTCGGAAACTCCCAGGTGCTCCAGGAAGGCTCTGGCGAGAACCCGAGGACAGGCCAGATGATTGCAGCAGACTACACGGGCTGGTTGGAAGATTTCGAGTCCGAGAAGAAGTTTGATTCTTCCCGGGACAGACGGCAGCCTTTGAAATTTCAGGTGGGCATTGGCAAAGTCATCAAGGGCTGGGACGAGACTCTGCTGGATATGAAAGTTGGCGAACGCCGGCAAATCATTGTGCCACCTGGGCTCGGGTATGGAAACCGAGCCATCGGCCCTATCCCAGCCGGCTCCACGCTCTACTTCGACGTGGAATTGAAGTCTATCGGGAGATGAGGGCAAGCCGAGATGTTTTCCGTCAGACAGGATTGTCTACATTTTGTTCAGACGGTTCCATGGCGCTACATGAAAGGCTGGAAAAGAAGAAGCTGTGAGTTGTCTGTTCCGAGCGTCGTCTTCAGCACAACCTGCGTGCTAGAGTCTCCGTCAGTGCTCACAGAGATTGCTACACGTGAAGATCTTTTTGGATGCGCAGGCCCGGGCCAGAGTGACCGGGACGGTCAGGGCCAAGGTCAGCTCCAATGGTGCTGAAGTTCTCCCACGTGAGCCGAAGTACGGCCTGGAGCCCGGCAGAGGTGCAAATCGAAGAGAAGCCAGCTGCAGCTTAGGTTCGAGATGCTACGAAGACCCACATCTTGTCGCTGCCCCGAGAAAGGTTCAGTTGAGGGAGGGAGTGCAAACACGAGCACAGCTGTGAGGCCAGAGCTTGAGTTCGGAATCCTCAAGCCGCTCGGTTTGGGCTTAGGGGAAGAGAGGTGCAGAGGTGTGTTTCCGCATGCGGCAGAAGCTGCAGCTGCAGCTGCCTCCGCCAAGGGAGTTTGCTGCCGACCTCAAGCTCGGACCGCAGGCCCAGCCGCGAGCCGCGGGGCAGGGCCAAAAAGACGCGCTCTTTGAAGCGGAGTGCAGCTGGTCCGCATCTTAAGCGTGAGGAGCGGAGATTTCTGATGGACATGTTCATCGACAACCTCCTAGCCGTCGAGGAGCACATGAAGCTGGAGGTGCCCTCACCACTGTTGTTTACTGTTGCCCTGCCGGACCACACTTGTCGACCACTCCATGCGACGCAGTCCCAGATGTTGCATCTGACCGCTGAGCGATTTTGTGATTTCTGCCGGATGCCGCTGTGGCCAGGTCACGGTCCGATCACTGTGTCATTCTCGAGGCTGTCAGCAAAGAATCGACAAGCTATTCAAGTGCTGCTTGCCGCGGCTACGCTTTGCCTGCTGCGGTTGCTGGAATTTGCACCTACCTACGTTCCACTATCCTCCTTTACTCCGCCCCTTATGCTGCCATGACTCTCCCTACTTGTTGATGTTGCTGTACAGGTACTAGACATACATCTAGCACTAGTGCCAGGTCCACCACCACTATCATCATCACCATCATCATCAGCATCAGCGTCATCACCATCATCACCACCACAACCATTGTCATAACCATGTAACATCTGCATCAGCATCTACAACAACTACAACAGCAACTACTACGACAGCTCCATACATAATTACTGCCACTGCGACGGCGACGGCGACTTCGCCTGCTGCTACCTCTCCTGTATTGCTACCCTGCTACCGCTACTGCTTCTGCTGCTGCTGCTACTCTCGCTCCTCCTCTTAATCTTCCTCTTACTCCTCCTACACCTAGCCCTGCGACGCATCTACTCCTACAGGAAAAACAACGGGGACCACCACCCACCACCTACTACTGCCACTACCACTACCACTTCGACGGCTACTGCTGCGACTACGACGACGACGACTGCTACTACTACTGCTACTACTACTGCCATTGCCACTTCCACTGCCACTGCCACTGCCACTACCACTGCTGCGACTACGACGACTACTACTACACCTGCTGCTGCTGCTGCTGCTACTACTACTACTACTACTACTTCTACCACTACCACTACTACTACCACTACCAGTACCCCTACCACTACCACTACTACTACTACTACTACTACGACGACTACTACTACTACTACGACGACTACGACTACGACTACTTCTACTACTTCTACTACTTCTACTACTTCTACTACTTCTACTTCTACTACTACTTCTACTACTTCTTCTACTACTACTGCTACTACTCCTGCTGCTGCTACTGCTACTGGTCCTACTGCTGCTGCTGCTGCTCCTACTACTACTACTACTACTACTACTAGTACTACTAGTACTACTAGTACTACTACTAGTACTACTAGTACTACTACTACTACTACTACTACTACTACTACTACTACTACTACTCCTACTACTCCTACAGCAACAACAACTACAACTCACTACTACTACTACTACTACTACTACTACTACTACTACTACTACTACTACTACTACTAAGACGACGACGACTACTACTACTAAGACGACGACGACGACTACTACTACTACCACTAAGACGACGACTACTACTTCTAAGACGACGACGACTACTACTGCTACTACTACTGCCATTGCCACTTCCACTGCCACTGCCACTGCCACTACTACTGCTACTGCTGCGACTACGACGACCACGACTACACCTGCTGCTACTACTACTACTACGACGACTTCTACGACGACGACTACTACTACTACGACTACTGCTACTACTACTGCCTTAACTGCGACCGTCGGCTTCACCATCCCAATCCTCCTGCGGCTCACGAGACTGCGGCAAATTGACCGGTTCGCACACCTCTCGGCCTCAGCCTTGAGAGGTGTCACTGCCGACTACTTGAACTTCTCGGAGCGGTTTAAGATGAAGAAGGACTGCAGCGTGCGATGAACTTGAGCAATGCTTCTGAAGTTGCCTGACCCGCATACTTGGGCACTGTTCAGGTTCTGCACTCGGGGTTTCTTTAAATCGCCTTTCAGGATCCCAAACCCTCCAAGAGACTGAGAACTCCCATGTCAGCATTGCTGTTGACACCCTCGCGCAGTGCCTGCTGATGATCGGAGACGTTGGGAACGTGGAAGCTCACTGGTCTCAACTGATCCAGCCGGCCGTGTGCGCCACCAGGGCCAAGACGCGACAGCACTTTGTAAGTCTTTCAGGCAGCGCATCGCCAGTTTCTGATACAGTCGAAGGCGCAAAATAACATCAAACATCACAGTTCCAAGTTCCAAGGGGTCCAGCTGAGACAAGACTGGACGCGGCTGTGAAGAATGCTGGCCGCACTTGGTTCTCAAATGCCGTTGGAAGAGCAGTCTGGGCCAGCTGAATAGTTAGCTTCGAGAATCCTTTAAATCTTGCATTTTGTCGGATGATCATGCAGATTTCTCCCGAGACGAGGCAGGTGAAAATTGCATGCCCAACCAATCCTCCAGGTACTTTTACCAGCACGAGTACAACGTCATCATCATTGATGCACGACGCCTACAATGTTCAGCGCATGGGCAATGCATGGAAGTGAGGTCAATCTCTTGAGTGGCGACAGTAGTAAGCACGCCGTGTGGCAGGGATAGCTGCATTGTTGAAGAGACGGGGTGCAGTCTCAGCGGGAGAAGAACAGCAGCGTCGACAGCACTGCTCTGGAGCACTGAGACACCATCTCTGGGAAGCAGTCAGCATCGCTGGATACAGTATGGCCCCGCCCTCGGATAGCGGAAGTGTTGGCAAGGCCGAGCAGCTGCTTGCATCAAACGTATGTGAGCTCGGGCTGAGGGAGCTCCGCATTCCTTGTAGGTCATGTCAGGCACTCTCCTCCACCAGTCAGATCGCACTGCTCATATATGTAATCATGATGCCCCCCCTCATGTACCCGCGCTTGGTGCTTGCATCGTGTGGGATCGTGTTCGTGTCCCTGCAGGCTTTTCCAATCTCCACTTCGATTCTCGGTCGTATCTAAATACAGTACAGCACTGACACGTTCTTCTATGCCAGATTTGTATATGCCAGGTTTTTACTACTGTGGTTATGGTCACCGTTCTGTTTTGTCAGGTAACACCAACCCATTTAACACTCTGTACCTCCCCTTGCTTTACTATGTCCCATTAAAAGATTCTAGTTACATTTTTCCTGTGATTCAGTGAGGGGAAGTGGTCGACTACTCAACAGCTGCTATTCACAGTGTTTCCTACGAGCCAGACATGCTAAAGTGAATGTATGAATTGTTGAGTCCTACGTTTGTTCACAGTGTGAGAAAGCGTAAACCTACCTGCTACAACAGATTGCTTGAACGTTCACACCTGTGCTTGCCTTATTACCAACATACACAAGCATTCTTAATTGAACGATGGCGGAGTCAGCTAATACATTTGTTCTTCAAAACCAGCTGACAGAGGTTTGTTATTGGTCACGACCAAAGAGAACTCAACGAGCAGTGACGGTTTATCAAACTTTGTACTCCTCTTGGCCTTCTTATTTTTTATATCAGCTGAGAATTTTTGCATGCTTGTTCTGAGTTAGTTTCATCTTAAGCTTGTGCATCATTTAGGTCATGTCCATCTTGTCGAGTCAGGATTCGTCATTTTTTGTAAAATTATTTCAGAAAAATAGCATGTATTAAATGATGGCCACTAAAAGCCGCGCCTGTATGTTAGAGTGGTGCTGTGAATTGCTCATATTTCTTTGGCTAGGGCTCCTTGCTGTAAGCAGCAGTGAAAGCCATACAGAAAAGACCACACACCAATGAACGACACCGTGACGCCCCCTCCCCCCTCCAACCCCCCAATGCAAACGTAAAGCGATACAAGCAAGCATGTTATACATTTACCTGTAGACGTGTGCAAGTTCAGGCAGCACACTTTCCAGAAAGCACTAGTTGCCCACATATACTAAAGTCTTCAAGCATAGACAAGAGGTATAACGTTCTGTACATGATGAACAGACGAAGACAGTCAATGAAGTGGTCTTCTGGTAGTAGCGTCTTCAACAAAGATTAGTTAGTATCCAGTTCTGTGCAGGACGAAAGGATTAGTTAGTAGTTCCATAAACAAAATGTGGAATAAGCAAGTCCTTGCAAGAGTCAACTTCGTGTCGAATCCGTTCAATCCGTTAAACTATCAAGCTAGTGATTAGACCGCCCGAAGTTCGTCGAATTTATAGACATTTCAAAAGGATTGCAAAACACTCCATCAACATGAACTCTGAGCTTCCTAATTGAACGATGCCGCGGGTTTTGAACAAGCCGCAGTTGAACTAAACGAACTTCTGGATATCTTTGGTATGCCCTTTCTGGGCTAGTCTAAACTTTAAACAAGAAAATAGAAGTGACGGGATTGATCATGACAACGACAAGTTTATGATAAGGGGCATATTTCTGGAAGAGTCAGGGTGGATACGTTACATCAGCAGCGCCAGTGATTTAGTAGCAACACTACCAACAAGGCAAACGCCCACAAAGCACGGCATTCCCAGTGTTAAGTCTCCGTACTGACAGGCACGACATTTATAGAGCACAAAAAACGACCATTCACATAACTTCAGGATCGAGATGGAAAGTGCACTGGCCAAGCCGCAACAATCCATATTCCAACGTATTCAAGACGTATTCGATTGGCAAGAGGGCGGAAACCCGAATCAACCGAATCATTTCTGAATGATTTGGGTGGTTGCTGGATCCAAGATTGCCCTCGCAAGACCCCCCCAGAAATCTTGGGTCTTGGATCCGGACCCAAATCAACATGATTCGGAAATGATTCGGGACCGCTTTGGAGGGAACCCATGAGGTTTCGTCCTTTTGAAATCTTTTCCATCTTGTCTAGGGCGAAAGTTTTGTATTTCAAGATGTGCAATCAAGTTATGATCTGCAAGCACTCCCCCGATCCCAATACCCCACGTCCTGCTGCTGAGATTTAGGAGAACGCGTGGGTACGAGGATATCCTATGAACCCACGCTTTCCCAAATTTGGGATTTAGAAGGAAGGCGTGGGTACATGGGGGAGGGGGTACCATCTATCCATATATGTATATACATAATGGCATAATATGTAGGCTACAGTATACATAAGACAGTTTTATGCCATGTTCTATTATATTCTACTTTACCTTACTTTTAAACCTGAAGCCAAAGAGCTGCTCCAGCCTAGGTCCTGCGATCATTCGCGGAACGCTGCAGTCGAGCCCACTTGGTTTGCGGGACTTGCTGGTAGGAATCTCACATCATATCACATCATAGCATAACATGACATTTCTAGTGTAATACAATATAGTGCAGCATGGCATATGACATTTTATAGTATAATATAGTCTAGTGCAGTATGGTGTATAGTATAGTATAGTATACAATAGTATAGTATAGCATGCTTTTGCATAGTATGGTATGGTATAGTAACGGCGTGGCCTGGTCGCTGCAATCTCCTCGAAGCTTCCTGTGGTTGATCCAGCACTCGGCCAGGTACTTGGAGGTTGCGCAGGTCAGCGTGTTTTCGATGGGCCTTGGGTGCTGCTTGTTCCTGCAGGCCACGTTGCCCTAGCCAGAGCTGAGTCAGTGAGCCCTTGTAATGTCCGAGACACTCGGTTCTGTGCCAGATTCTGGGAGAGACGCCGCATGTCCTCAGCACGACACATGTCATGTACAACCAGGCCGGGCGATCCCCCAAAGTTTAGCCTTGTGCTTGCAGCCAGCAAACTGGAGAATGCTGCTCAGCGCCCAGGATATGCCGGCAGACAGGGCAACCTTTCCCTTCGATGTATTCGATGTTGAGGCGCCTGCAGCCCACGTTCAACCCTGCAATACTAAACGGTAGTGGGCTTTGGATGGCAGATCGCGGCGAAAGCAGGAAGGCCGAGCGGCCAAGTCGTCCTGTGCAGAGTGGCACTGCGCTGTATTACCGCAGAGAGCCGTATCTTCCAAAATGACCTTTCGATCTGTGGAAGTCCAACGGTGCAAACCCACAAGAGGTGGCTTTGCGCGACAATGATGTGCAGATCTGGGTGATGTCCGGATCTTGGATCTTGGACGAATAGCCATCAGCAGATTCGCTGGTCACAACGTCAGACGTGATTCCGAATCCCGCTTTGAGCTTTCATCCATTTCATGCAATGTTGGCTAGCAGTCTCGCTCTACGGGGCATTTCTTCTGTTGCATGCGTAGACATGCCATGAGACACTCCGTGCAAAGACAGCGCAGACTGAGCACCGACAAGCCAGATACAACGACGACGAGGACGAGGACATTGACCCCAGAGCCTACAGCAAACACAACAAGGACGGAGTGATCTTGCGACAGTGCTGAAGCAAACCCTCCGGATTGACTTCAAAGCAATGCTTGCACAGTTATCTTTGTCGATATTGTGCAAATTGAGATTTGTTGGGTTTTATTTTCCAAGTAAACATACAGGTTTCTACAGGTTTCTTGAGGCTCTGTGGCTGCCTGCGAAGTTTCTGCACAGATCCCTTGAGAGAGATGTCTGTGTGATTTTTTCGCAATCGCTGACAGGATTTGTGCGATCTCTACACTGCCTTGCATCAATCAGTTAGGGTTGATGGACACTTGCAGCAGTTGGCCGTGTCGCAGGGCGCTTCCAGACTTGGGGACATGATTGTGAAGATGCAGGTGCCGGGGAGACATTGATCGAATATGAGCAGAGCATGGTGTTTCGTCCTTGACGTATCGAAGCGAGTCCATTGGGGCTTGGAGGCATGCGAGGTCCGTTCAATATGCTAAAAGCATTGCCGGATTATCTTCTTCCTTGTGCTCAAGCTTGTGCACATGCCCTGAGCATGCAACAGACATGAAAGAATAACTACATCTCGTGGCGAAACTAGGTCGAAAGAATGCATGGCGCAGATGCCGAAACCTCGGATCACATGCCTGTGAACATGGTACCAGCGGCAGGTCAATAGACGACAATATGAACAAGAGCAAGAGTAGTGAGTAGTGAAAGAACAATGGCAACGGTCACACACATTGCAAACGTCGTAATCAGAAAGCATCGTCACAATTACAGCCGAGAATGATACGCCGATGCCAGCGACAGCTGTTAGAATAATATCCACAAGAGCAACAGCAATACGATCTCACAGGTAGACAGATCGTGGCGGTCGCTCTTGTCATGACAACCCGTTAGCCATGGCAGACCTCGGCTGTTTCTTGGCCGGCTTGCCTTTGTCCTGCTGCATTCTGTGCCCTGGCACTGCAGGGAGCCGTGTCCTCTGAAGTTCTCCCTGGAGCATGTTTTTTAGGGTTCGCTTCTTCTCTAAGCTTAGGAATGCGAGCGGCCCCCGCACGAACACAGAGAAGCAGCTCATTGACATCGCTCGATCTTCGCACCGCGCTCAGTGCTCAGTTTGATGTAACACAGGGAGAACAGGATGTCTCGGCGATTCAGTCACGGAAGCGTCTCAGGTCGGGGGCTGTGTGCTCCAAGAGTGCTACGCTCCAGCCCAGAGAGGGCAACGCACATCCACGCTATGTGGAACTGGCGCTTGGGGAAAGCAACAGCAGTGCCGCTCGATGAAATTTGGCAACAGGCGACCGGATGGATGGATGGATGGATGGAGGGATGGTCTTTACTCTTGTTTGTTTTTCTGTGTGCGCATACATTGGTGTTTTTGCTGTTTATGCACATGTGCTTGTGCGAATGAATGTGTACGAGAGTAGGTGTTTGCATGTGTATGCAAATTGTCATATGTATACCGTTGTAAGACATTTGTATGATGTGGAGCGATGTACACTTATATGCCATATTGCCATATTGTATATTTGCGCACATGCAACATATATGTATATAAGTAAGATATACATATATATTTGTGTGGCACACTGGAATTTACACATGTATGCGGACATGTACATATATCTGCATGTATACATACATATCCCTACATATTCACATGCATACACGTCTACAAATACAAATATATACACATAGACGCATACAAATACATATACACAGGCATACATATACGTACATCCATATGTACATACACATGTAGATACATAGGTACATACAGAAACATACAGTAACATGCACATATGGACACAGCCGTACATGCATGCATACATACATACATACGAAAGGTTCATACATACATGCACATGCATACACACACACACACACGCAGACATTCGCATACATGTTTGTACATGCCTGTGTGCTTCACATGCCCAGCTGCATGTCCAGAGCTATGCACATGTACATGGCTGAGTGGTTTGATGAACCGCTCATGTGATACTCGCTGTGAATAGTTCTTTCTGTCTTCCTATCTCTCTGTGATTCGAAACCAAGACTGCAATTTGGAACGAACTTGCAAACCACATCTCCATAAGGACCTTGGCATCTCATGCTGGATTCCTAGCTTTCTCTTCTTATTTCGAAAGGTTGACCGATACGCCGCAGCCAATATTCTCCGGACGTCACAACTATCACGAAAGAAGGACTGGCACTCCAATAGCAACAGCCGGCAGTTGGTCTAGCCTGTCTCGCTGAAGCAGTGCCGCAGCCGACAGCCTGATGGGACCATCTAAGATCATATGAGCAGCGCATTTAGGGCTGGAGCAGCCTGCCAGCGTTTCAAACTACATCTTTCTGTCCGTGCAGAAGGTGAACTCGGAGGGCTTGCCGAACGCTGGGGTAGGGCTCTACACGGACGCATCGATGCTGCGGAGGCAGGTGGCTCTAGGGCGGCGTTGCTGTTTCAACCTGCGATGCTAATCTGTGTGCCCTCGAGCAACTACTTAACTGCTTCAGAGTGCCCATTGCCTGGGGAGTCCAACGTTCCCAAACCTGCAAGCTTGCGGTTTGGGTAGGCGGGCCTCGGCAGGACGTTAGAGTGAGGTGACCCCACGGAAGCGGAAAGAGAAGGACACATGCCCGAATTTCTGCACGCCTGAATCCGTGCAGGCTGAAAGAAAATGCTGCACCAAGCAGCAAGCCTTACATCCTCTCAATATCTGGACTGTCGTTGGATGAGAACCTGTTCATGCTGGATGGGTTGTTGGAGCATCCTGATGCCATACAGTATCTGCTCCGTGGCTGCATCATTCGATCTTGCTACCGTGCTCGTATTGCGACTATGACTTTGATTAGCAATGGGTAGCTGCAAAGTCGATTCGAGGAATGCGGTGGAGGTAAACGTGGCATGCCCGAACGTGCCTGGGAAGCCGCTGGTGGGGTATGACTTTCCGCAACTGTCTAGCGTTGTGGAGACAATCGCGAGCCACGCATCTTGGCTTCATGTGGATGCCACGGCTTTCCTGATTGGCGGGCTTGATTCGGGGCGCACGGTGCTTTAAATGCCGGTATATATGGTGACGGAGTCGTGCATCATGTTCCTGCAGTGGCCACGATGGGCTCATCTAAAGGCGATCTTCTCCGAGCCCTACAAAGTGGTTTTGGGCTTCAAGCTCCCTCCATACTTCGACGCCAAAGCTGCAGCAAGATTCTGCTCCAAGGGGTGTGATAACATTCCTCTCAGCAATGCTATCAGTATCGCATTCCAAGCTCATAGCAGTCGCCGCTGAGGAGCTGCATGCCGTAAGCCGTAGCCGCCGTAGCCTCTATGGCCCATGTTGCCCACTGAACCCCAGGATGTGCCGTTCTTTGATGCCGTGGCCGCCATGCTGAACCCCAAAGCAAAGTCAAAAGGCAGCCGAGCGGAACGAGCGGTTCAGCCTGAGTACTATGCCGAAGTCGGGGAAGTTGAACTCGGGTTCGCTGCAGAACTTGTATCCCCGCTTAGTAGGATTGCGACGACATCATACTGACCACTGCTTGATGAGACCGTGCTACTCGTAGGATAGGGCTGACAGAGCAGGAACGGGAGTTCAACAGGAGTGCTTAATAGGGGCCTTCGCCAAGGGGGTGCTCTGGGCTACGTGGTCTGTTGCAACACCGTGGGTGGTGCGCTAGCCGTGGATGTGGACTCGGAGTCCACCGTCCTGCATCCCAAAGGAGGTGTCTTGGCGGTGGTAAAAGTGAATTTGAAGGTTTCACATCTAGCCACATTGAAATGACATGCTCTGAATCCGACATCAGAGCCTGCAGCCACAGAACGAGGTCAATCCCCCCTCTTGAGTCTTGATGAGGTTTGCATGCGAACTGGAGATCATGTAGCCACATAGCGAAGTCAGATCAGGCTCAGCCCCAGAAGGCCTGAGTGGGGCCACGGACAACTAAACTTGACGGCCCTCCATTACTGGGGTTGGCGACCCGAGTGCACAGCTGCAAGGATTTGGGGGTATGGGTGGCCAACACGTCCGCCTCATAGCCTCTTGGCAGAAGCAGACGCAGCAGCAGCTGATCCGCTCAGTACACTGGGCCCGTGAACCTGAGACGTTCCTAGGTCCGAGCCTTGCAGCGATACATACATATATATATATATAGCATGCCACAGGTCGGGGTGGTTAATGAACACCTTTGCAGCATAAACAGGTTGCACACTACAGCGTCAAATGCACCCGCACCAATTCCGCGTTTGTGCCGTTGCCTAGTGTTGCTTTTGTCCTGAGTCACACGGCTCCATGCGTTCAGCTACTTGTGCTTCGTCTAATCTGAAGCTGCAGTGCCGCAACTTCGAAGGTCGTTGCAGTGTAGCAGTGTAGCAAATTTGGTGCGAGTATTGCGCGGCCGTGCAGAGTGTCATCACGATGCACGAAACGAGAGGGCAGTTGCTTGAGCCTGAGCCACTTCCTGCATGTCAGGCCTTGGGAAATGTCCGACAGGCCGCCCGATGGACCGAACGTGTGGCAAGTTGTGGCTTCCTAAGGTATGCGGGTCAGTGTGTTTATGACTATCTATCGATTTTTCGAACCTGCAATGTTTTGCTGCAGGTCCGACCTGAAGTCGACAGGGGGCGTTGTTTTTTTTCTGCGGTTTCAAACTCGTTCTTCACCTTTCTGAGAACATCCCAGCTATTCGTTCCGGTGCCTCTGGAACTGTCGTAGATATGGCATGGTTGGGAATTCTTTTGCCCCTGACAGTTTCGGCAGCGCTTGGACGCAAGCATCGACATCGTCGGATGTGGAGGTGCCCTGTAAGGACAGAGGAGTTTCTGGTGTGAGACTGATCTCCCGGTCTCCAAGTTGATGGATGTTCGTAGGCATGCCAAGCATCCAGCAGTCTAAAAAAAATAAGATTCTTTAGGACAGGTGTGAGCATTGCCAGCGAGCTGCTTTGGAATCCAGTAACTCGTTGATCCTTTGCCGAGTGAGGTGTCTCCACCGGCGAAGATGCCTTTGCTCACATTTTGTGCGGAGCAACGGCTGTTCAGGACGTTCTTTCCGAGCTGCGTGCCAGATTGACAATTCCAGCCCATGCATAGAGTCTATATTCTCGGCTGTGTAATGGAGCAGCCGAAGTTCATTACATGTCGCATGTTGTCCAAGCATGCCTCTGTCCACAAGCCTGCAAGTACCCTGAGAGGTTGCCACACAGCACCGTGTGGAGGGTGCTGGATGCTTTGCACGAATTGCCGCCGAGCTTCAGGCACTCATGCAGAGGACATGCTTGAAGGCTTGTGAGAAGCCCCAGCGCCCCACCCCCATGCAGCTATGGCAAGTGCAGGAAAGGCTACCGTTGCTTGGACGACTTCCGCGGCAAGTTGCAAGTGCGGCTGCCGGCAGCTCTGTGATGCGAACGGGTGCATAGCCAAGTGGCGGTCCGGTCTGAATGTATCAGTACAGAGGCTAGGGGTAACGGGAGCAGCACGAGTCAGATCAGCGTGGCCAGCTTGGCATACCTGGGCAGCATGGCCAGTGACGAGAGACAGTCACTGCCACCTAGGGACCCAGTCGCGAGCCTTTCTGAGGAATGGTTGAATACTTACTGGCTCATACAATTCGCAACAAAAGCCGGCGAGTGGGTTTCTGGAATTACTGTCAAGATGTCGCGCGAAAAAGAGCGAACAAGATGGCAACTTCGTCTTCTGCCATGCTCAGCTCGATCCGTGAAGCACTTGTCAAGTAACCGCGCGGGTTTGTGGTTCCATTCCATCTCCGTGACTTGGCAGGCTCGCCTGGAGTCGGAAAGGAGGATCAGCGATTCGCCCCGCTGGCCGTTTCCGAGGGTTGACCTTTGTAGTCTTGAAAGCTGCAGCCGAGCGCAACTGTTGTGACAGTACAACAATGCTAACCCAGAAGTTCAGATTGCGAAGCCATGTCGCTGCAGCCATTTGACACCAACTTCTGCAGGGCACTGCACAAGTTCCATTGGACTCTATTGGTCCAAGCATGTAATGCCTCAAGATGGTCTCAAGATGCAGCTGCACTGCCCTAGTCTTGTGCAACAGGAGATTCTTTTTTGCCATTAGGGGTACCAGCGGCAGCAACACCACGATAAAATGTTCAGCAGTTGAGTTGTTCTTCATGAGTGTCTCAATCAGTTGTCCTACTGACCTACTCTCGAGCAATGTTGATGATGCATAGTTCGGGCAGAGGCTCCAGGTAAAACAGAGGACTCGTCCAGCAATTCCTAATTCAAGAGCTCAGTGGTTGAAGAACGTTTTCGGGCAGCATGTTGTCGCAAGTTGTCAAAATTCCTCTTCTGAATATGCAGAAGCAGAAATGTAGGTCAAGTCAGATGACCACTGCGCCCGTGCTAGCGGGGAAAGGTTCCAAGGTGCTCGGACATGCCTTGAGAGGCCAGCTACACAAGCCCAACAGCTCGCCGTCGCGTGCAAAAATGCCAAAAAAGAGCCCTGGCATGTGAGCAAATCTGTTGCTGGGTGTTCTACACCAGACATCACATGGCACTGTCGCTTCGAACACGCTTAAGCAACTGCATCACTATGGCCTTCATGCTGGCGGTGCGCGAAGCGCAGCTGTAAATGTTCCTGCTAAAACTTATGTTTTTCAATAGTTGTCCTAGGAGCTGTGAGCTCACATCGGTACATGCTTGTCCGTGCGTATACCCCCTGCTCGTGTCGCGATCTGGCGAATCATAGTTTTACGTGCTGGCGAGCTGAACTTGGAAATTAAAGTGCCAGGGAGCGGATCTATGATGAGATCTTGACAACAGAAAAGCTCAACACCGGGGCTTCGGCCTGAGACCGTCTTCACCGCTTGTTCCCACGAGATTCCCCTCGCTTCCGAGGCCATTCGAGTGGAGAAGGTCTGGGTCAGGCGAGCCGGAGCTTCCAACACATTCCCCATGCCCATGGGGCCCATGGGTATCGGTAGCTCCGCCCATCTCCGTGCTCTGTCAGTCGGGTTCCCATCCACGTGTTCCGGCACGACGTGCTCTTCACGATGCAGCATTACTTGAGACAATATCCGTCTTCTGTACAGGACTGCCAGCAGTCGAGAGTATCTGCAGCGGGCCGGTATACGTTGACCCAGCAAGAGTAGCAGCATGTCCATGTACACTTGCTGGCCACTGAATGAATCCTTGATTTGCAGGACGATGTTGTGGACGGCCTCGTGAAAGATCTCCTCGACTACTTCAGGGTCAGAGACCTGGGGTTCTTGTAGCGCTCCTAGGGTCCTTCTCAGGTGATCGCAGACCGGAGATCGCAAACGGCAGGAAGACATCAAGGAGATCCCGGAGCTGCCGGCCCTCAAGAAGGAGTTGCTCAACCGGTCTGACAAGGTGAGGATGGCTGAAATGTGTAACTGACCTGCATAGAGAGCTATGCACCCTCGGCAGGTTCGGAGGCTCGTTTCTTCCGGGAACCGCAAGCGCCTGGAACTGGTTCAGGACACCATGTTGGGGAGGATGGGCATACTGACTCGGCTTCCTTTGGCAAACACGATGCATGGGCAGGAGTCGATGCTGGCACTGACAGCCGGACCGCAGCTGGCAGCGCTGCCTGGCAAAGTCGAGGAGAAAGTTGAGACCCTGGCACTTTCGAGGCTCGTGCTGCCTCGAAAGCTCATGAACTTCCGAAAGAGCTTTGAACCCTTTTGGTTGAGCTGCGTACTGAATCGACAGGCGTGGAACTGGAAGCAAGTTGGCAGCTGACTCAGTATTGTGAAGACGACGCGCTGCCGTGCTTGGTGCAAGTGGATCAGAATCTGAAGTGAATTCTGCTCTAGCAGATCTGTGCCACAGAAGATAAGGCTGCCAAGATGCGAAGCAAGTCGAACTTGACCGTGGTTTCAGAGGATGCCGCGTCCTCTGCACAATTGCCGCCTTCCTTCTCCAAAGCAACGTGAGAGTTCACGGTTCGAATTGTGTGTTTTCAGTTAATAGGGTCCAGCAGGCACCGTTTCACTGCCGCCCAGATATTTGAAGCGCAAGCGCTGCGAACTGCTCACTGTGTGGACTGTCCCGTCAAGCTCTCTTTCTTGCAATCAACTCCACCAGGCCAGTGTACACGAAGTAATACCGTGTATATATATATACACATAAACAGATATTGCACATATAGAATATAGTACGCTCATATATCATAATACAATACAATATAATATGCAAATGTATATATAATATGTATATATGTATGCGTGCGTGCGTGTGTGTGTATGTATATATATATGTATATATGCGAGTTCATATCAATAGAGGCGATGGACATCGACGGCGACCTCGACGATGAGGAAGAGTCTCTCGTCGACTCTTCGAAGGACTCCGTGGGGGACGGGGACTGGCTGGGGCCACTCGGCCCCCCTTGCTGTTGGGTTGTGGTTGTGGTTGCGGCGGTTGTTGTTGTTGGGGAATATATATATATATATATGTGTGTGTGTGTGTATCATGCAGATATAATAGAAATAAAACCAGCAGACAGAAACAGATAATTTGCATGTAAACAGGTAGGTACGCATATGCATACATAATCATTTATATGTGCATATCTATCCATTGATTTATAACTGCATATGTATGCCTGTTAATTTTTCCATCGATCTGTGTAAGTATCTTATTTAATACAGTCACAATATGAATAGTGGTATGGGTCGTGCCTGCGCCTGAAGGACTACAGAGAGCAGTGGGCTGCCCTGCAGCCGATCCGACGGCGGGCTGCTCAAAAAGGCCAGCATGGCCCGAAGGACGTGTCCACTTCGCTCAACAGTGATCAAGTGCAATAGCAAAAGAACTCCATGTTTCCAGTGAGACAGAGCAGCTATCAACTGCAGCGAGATTGGAACGCACATCATTGGATCTCTCTGCGCTAAGACAGACTTCTCCAAAAGGGTTCTCAACATAGATCTCTAGGAGCACTTTTCCTGTGAGCCCCCCAAGAAACTCTGACAGGCTCCGAGCCCAATGGTCCCTTGGGCATCGAAGCTCCGCCGGTGCAGAGGACAACTGACACTCCCCTTCTGCATCCTTTTCTGTTTGGGCGTTAGCTCCTGCCTCCACGGATCTGACGAAGCACCATCCTATTGTCTGGAACTCAAAATCGACGTCGCCTCTGCTGTTGCATTCTGAGCCCTCCCTCAGACTTTCTGGAGCAACAGCCCTCGAAGCTCCCAGAGTCGTTGCGAGGACCGCCTCGTACTGATGCTTCGGCCACCTTCTGATATGGACGGCATTTTTTCGGCCTGTAGCAGTGTTGTGGGTAGGGAAGATATGGGGTTTCTCCATCAGATCCAGCATACCGCCAGACATTCCATTGAAACTCCATCGCGTCTTGCTGCTTGACCGAAAACTTCCTGCCGCCATCGCTCTACCCCGAAGGGGCAGCCCAGCGCACGAAGTTCCTGAGCTCTTTGTGGTAAATTAGGCAATGAAGTCATCAGTGATCAACAGAGCTGGTACTGCATGCCGACAGCCATACCGGAGTGCGGGAGTGCTGGCAGTTCGGCGCTGGCAGTTGATGCGGCTATCGGCGAAGTCGAGAGCCAGCATGGTTGCTTCAATCTCTGCACGAGCACATGTGAAACTGCGTGGATGCGAACAGGATGTGAAGGCTTGCAGGTTTCCGCAGTTTCTCAGCCTGTGTTGGCAAAGTCTTTGAGAATTCGGCTGCATCCCCTGTCCGCAAAGACACCTCCCCGCCCTCCGCAGTAGTCAGAAGACTGTGTGGATCACAGGACGGGGCTTCAGCAGATTTTGCGCCATCCTGAACCTAAGGTTCAGCTGGCGACTCGCTAACGCTCTCAGACTCTCACATGTTCTGCAACCCAAGATCTGGCCCGCTCACCTGGAAGCGCAAGCCAGGACGCATCATGTGCCAGAAAAGCTTCAACATGGATGCCGGCTTGGCGCATGTGCTCAAGCGACCTGAGTCTAGCTGACGTCAGTCCGCTGTGCCAAAGACTCGACAGTCTGGCTGCTTAACGGAGCTCCCAAGCCTACGGTTTGGACCTGTTGACTTGTGAAGCTGAGGCCCTGAGTTGTTTGCAGTTTTGGCTCGAGGCTTACGTATCGAAGTGAAGTGTTGTACTCTCGACAACAGCGCCGCTCTGAGCTCAGATACTTCTTATCCAGTCTTGTCGAAGAAGTGCGTCTAGAACCGACGTTCAGAGCTTGGGATACAAGCAGAAGTCCACTTCGACGAGCTGGATATTTACATGGTAGCAGGTGAAGCACTGGACCGGCTTTGCCACCTCCTGAAAAATACTCATTGTCGTAATCGCAGGGAGCATGATGCTGGCTGCTCACACCCGTAATAGGACACAGCCAGATTTGCAGTACGGGTGCTACAGCTACAGGCGGTGACTGTGAACTGAGGCTCATCGCCGGACAGCGTGCGACTCAGTGAAGACACCCATAGCCACCTTGAGAGGAATGGGAAGGACTCGGAAACTGGGGAATTCGATTTCGGTCTCTGTACTTTAAAAGCACGCCGGGGGGTTCGGCCGGGAGTGTCCACATGCAAGTCGAGGCCTGATAGCCATGGCTTGGGGCTCAGCGAATGTGGAGCCTTTCGCCTTTCGCTGCTCTGTAATCTTTGGCGCTAGTATAGCTCGACCCAGGCCCCAACCATCGAGGAGCAAAAGACCATGCTGAAGACGCTGATGGGAGAAGGTCTAGCCGCGCCTCCGGAGGGCTTGACGTGGAAGTCTTGCGAAGGAGAGACGTGAAGACGCCGCTCTGTGTTTGTGAGTTCCCCGAGAGTGGGTGAAGTTCTGAGAGCTGAGGTCGAAGCGGACGCCCAGTCGGATCCTTCCACCGACTTAGTGAGCGAGGCCACTCTTTGCCCGTGAAAGAGATGCCTCTAACCGTCATGTTTGCACTTCGAGGCGTCTGACTTGGAGTGCAGCGACAGCCAGAGCGACGATGAACCACATGCGTTCTACACAGAGGACGCCAGAGACTGCCTGGGACGGCTGTATCTTGCGTTGCACTTCCAAATGGGCAGCTTCGACTCAAGTTGTTGTGTTCCAGTGGCACGCAGAACAGACGCAGAAGCAAGACGAAATGCGCGGTTGCACCAGGACACAGTTCTGATCTTCGATTGGGACGACACGGTTGAGCACTCGGAGTCTTTGCATCCGCTGGTGCGGGCGGGACCACCCATGCAGAGAGAAGGAAAGGATCCTGCGAAGCGCCTGCATGGAAGCACGCGTGAGCTGCCCCCGCCGAGATGCTTCCATCCTCCTGGCTCTCAGAGCAGAGCCTGAGCCTGGACGAGGCGCGGATCCGCCGAACGGAACACGACTCTCTCTCTCTCTCTCTCTCTTTTGGGGGAGTCTTGGGCTGCTCCAAGCTGCCACGAGGCATCTCACATCTCATCGGAGCAAGAGGCAGGGCTTGACCCATGACTTACATCCGAAGCCGGGGTCTGAAGTCACTTCGGCCGTGCAGGTCGCAGGTTACAGGGTTGCTTCCCAAGTCACTCGGGCACACCTCGGTTCTAGGTCCCCAGCATAAACCTGCGAAACAAGTATGTCAACAAACAAACCTGAAGCTGATTGGGAAGATTAGCTTGCCGTACCTGAGACTGTAGAGCACGTCTTAAGGTTGCCGGCCTTGAGCAGCGAATTTGCCAGGCACAGCTTGCTGTCTTGGCACAGACTGCTGCCAAGACCCTCCGCGTGGCCAAGCGCTACGGGAAGGCGGTAACTGCATAAATTTTCGGGGTGCCTGGCGGATGCATGGCAAAGCCATGCTTTGCCTCAGCCAGTTATGGTTCAGAGAGTCCATCAGCTCCTCGAGGATCCTCCCAGTCGCAAAAACAGGAACTGCTCCCCTCCGCAGACTTTCCGCATTACCCGCAGCCCTAAACGGCACATGGTCTTGCACCACAGGTGGTTCTCGTCACCAACGCAGAATGCGGCTGGATTGAGCTGAGCTGCCGTGGGCTGAGCACGAGCAGCAGAGTGTCAGGGCTCCAAACTCCGATTACTTCCTGAGTCTACAAGAATCAATGGCCCACGAGGCTATGGTGAGAGAAGAGTGTCCCACCGTGGGCATCTTTGCATGCCTGTCACGGCTGCCAAGGTCAAAAGTTCATGCCATCACTCTACCCGCATTTGGAGGACACTTCGAGCTCTTTGACAAGTCGAGTTTTGCCGTCCAGTCTGGTGAAAAGTCACTGGTGCAGTTTGGCTTGAGCACAGCATGCAAGTGGGCTGATACTCGCTGTGCCAAGTCGCAGGGATGACCAGAGATCTGGTGTGCCCTGGCAGGATGTGACTCTGTTTTCAGCGCGATCAACCTACGAGAACCAAGGCGCCAAACTTTCCTTGCCCACACAAGCCTGAAGCCGCAGCGGTCACCCGTTCCAGTCCGCGTACAACCCGAGTCCAGCCAAAAAGGAAAGCCGGTTTTTTGGGCCTGAGAGACACGTGCAGCAGCAGACACTGGTTCAATCAATGCTAGAAACTTGCAGGTATGGCTGCACCCTTCCAGTCGCAGCCTCAGCTGCGAGAGATCTTGATCAAGGGGAGTTTGTCTGCGCTGCTTTCACTCAGGGAGAAGACCGGCTTAAATTACAAGAAATCTGAAATGATTGAGAGGCTGTCAGCCAATCAGCATCTGACTGAGGTGGAAATACCTTGCTTTCGAGACCGAAATCTGCAACTATTACGAGTCCCTGACATCGGATCGTCTCAAAAATGCCCGGGACCTGCGGTCGGGCTTTGTGAATTGGTCTGTCAGAAGTCAGAAGATCCAGCAAGTGCGAGAACGGCGAGCTATCAGACATCTAAGGGTTCCTGGGGTGCGGAGACAGCACAAGAACACAAACTGAAGAAATGGTGCTGCAGCACTCTCCAACCGATGCCTCCGCACCCCTAGCTTAGACCATGTCGTTGATTAACGAGCAGCGTTCGGACTTCTTCAGAGGGCTCTACAAAGACCGTTCAGCACCGGGCAAAAGATCATGTGCAAAGCTGTTGACATCAGGTCATTTCCTTTGGCGATTCCTTTCACGAGCGGGAGGCTGCAAAGGGAGATCTCAAGAAACTCTGGTGCTCCTGCACAAACCTGCGCCAGATCCCATGCTGTAAGCGCAGATGTTTTCTGTGCAGGCTGTCATACGCGTTACCGAGCGTTTGAAGCCTGGCACCTGGATCCTGCGGGCAGTTACGTGCTAGCAGCACTTGCTTTGCCATTCAGTTGAATGCACCAAGGAATTGTTGCACAAAGACCCTGAAGTTCACAGATCGCCCAATTCCGGAGCTGCTCCTGAAGGCCTCCCTGCAGAGGGCTTTTTGACGCTCATGCCGAAGGCAACCCGAAACCGGAAGCAAAGCCATCAAAGGGTGAAATCTGAACTTGGCGCACACCTTCCGGAAGCTGCTTAGCGCCTTCAGAGCCGAGGAGCACGCGCTCATCCAAGGCTGCTTCAAAGACATAGTAAGTCACGTCTGCGGCCCAGCATTCAGCCTCAAGCTCGCAACAGGTTGACGGCTGCTAGCATCACGAGGACCCAATTTCTTGAATGCATGGCCTGAGGATGGGAGTCTCGACCTCTGTTTCACCTGCTCCTGAACACGTATCCGTCTTGGAAGAGAGGCATGCTGATAAGCAGCATGATGTCGTGGCACCAAGTCAAGTAGCATCAGCCAGACACAGTTAGCAGTTAGCTTCGTCCAGCTTTGGAGCGACGCCATCGCACTTGTGTTAATCCACTACTATAAGGCTCCTGAAAGCACAGAAAGTATGTGCTTGCAGAAAGTCTGCTCCCTGTTGAATAAAGGCCTTATGGACATGGCAGTGCTGGAGTCTTATCGCCGTCGTTTCAATCATTGCGTGGGTCGTCAGAGCTACGACATCTGGCTTGCTTACCAGCTGTTCTTCTCTCTCGACATTGTGAGCTTTGTTCCGGCTTCGGGAAGCACTTAGCTAGTCTTCTACGAATCTGATGTGAAGTGTGAACGAGTGGCATCTGGTCTAGAACATGTCAGTGATCTGCAGGTGTCGCATCGGTCTGTCCTTCGAACTCTGGATGCAGGGATCCTAACGATATCGCCTGTCGTGACCCGAAGGGAAGCCGGTGCCAAGAAAGCTGTAAGAAAGCTCGATTGGCCAGGCTGCTGTCTGTGAGTTGGGGACTGGGGGTTTCATTCGGTCTCAGGAGATCTAACTTGAGTGCTTTAGCTACCGAGAGTTCAGGTTGCGCGAAATTTTGAGAACAGGGCTCAAAGACCTCCTATCGAAAGCAGCGGATGTTAGGCCTGAAGAGGTCCCTGAACTCACAGCTGCAGCCTGCTTGTTCAATGTGGGTCTCTGCTTCCGCGCAGGCCTTGTCTGTAGTCTTAGAAACGAGCATTCCTCGTAAAACTCCTATAACGTTGCCGACGTTTCAACGACTGCTGACGAGGCTTTGCCTCAACTGTCAGGTACATGTAGAAGATACACTACGTGGCCTTGAGGGCAAGGCTTTAACGGCTTTAACTGATCTCCGTTCAGAAGTGGATCTGCTCTGCGACAACTGACAAGGGACAGCCGGATGATCGAGACTCGATGTGCATTTCACGGGGCAGAAGTGGCGGATGGACTTCACTGCTGTGGTCGTGAGGCAAGGGGCTTCGGGGCCCGCAGCGGCAGCTCGTTTGTAGAAGGGTGCTAGAACCAAAATGTCTCAAAATTCGTCTTGTCCTGTAGCCAAGAGACCCAGCAGAAGATTCGCTCGCCTTGTCACAACACCTGCGGGAGCGTGGACAGAAGGGCGGCAACGGTGCCAAGAAGACTGACATGCAGCATTTGGCAACCTCTTCTCACCCCCCGTTCCTGCTTGGACAGTTCAAAGTTTTCGGAATCTTTTTCTACCGGCCGGTGCTCTACACGTGCCGCCGGCCAAAGAGCGGGAAGTGAAGTGGGGACCCCCTAAATGGCCCTGGGGGCCATATTCCGCCATGGACTCCATGGTACCTTCAGTTAGGGTGACTTAGTGACTTAGTGTCGCTTCCCCAAGCTCAGCCGACCCCAAGCAAACAACTGCAAGCCATGCCAGCTGTTGTTCTGCACCTGGGGCAAAGGCAGAGTAAGGTGTTTCTTGCTCGCAGAAAGTAAACGGAACCATCCTGGTGGCTCGGCTGCTGGGGAGGGTGGCAATGGTCACCTCCCTTGCTCAGGAGCAGCGGCTACTGCGGCAGAGCACAGAGTCATAGTCAATCATAGTCCGAACCCGCACGAGGCCTGGCAGCCTCTGCAAATTTAGCTAAGTCCGCCTGTCACCAGTTTCCGTGATTTTGCCAATTCGGGCCAACTGCAGCATGGAGTGTCGCAGAGTGTGCAGAACGTTTCACTTCACAGCGTAAAGGACGACACGTCTGCTTTGGGAATCAGGATAGACGATGACCACAGGCATACGCGAGGTTTTGAGACGCGCCTCGGCGTCTCTCTGCGTAACTGCCGTGACAGAGAGGAGATGAGGAGATGGATGAGCCACACGAAAAAGCCGAACCGCTTAAGCAGCTGTTTGCTCCATCCTCTTCGACCTGAAACGTTGCATACAGCACTGACAAGAGGCACCACCTGCAGTTGAAGAGGGTTGGCATCAACAGCATTCACAGCCGCCTGTGATAGAGTTTCACCCCAGCCTCATGCTGGAGATTCGGGTTAGGGAAAAGCCAAGCATTTTCCGTCGTTGCCCTAGCTTCGAAGTTGCTTCGCTTTTCCGTCACGGATTCCAAAGGCAGGTACAAGCTTTTTTCCAAAGGGGTTGATACATCTTTGATATTCTGTTGGACCCATGCACTCAGGGAAAGCCAACCATGTGCATGATTGCAAATCAGCACGCGGCTTTGGCAGACTGGGTGTACGTGTGTGCGCATTGAGCAGTAACTAGTGAGGCACCGGGGGCCTTGCAACTGAGGAGTCTCGGCAATTGTTGGCACAACGTCGGCAAGAGAGATTCGGACTACTTAGGTCTCGAGTGTTGTGTTGTTCCCTTTCAAAAGAGCGTGCCCGAACATGCCCCCAAATCTTTCAATTAATGCATGAGGAAAGACATGGGGGCACCATTGAAGCGAGATCTTAGACGCGAGTTCAACAAAAGGGTGGATCGGTTTATTCTTTGCTATTCAATCACCTCCAACTAGCCGAGCTCCAGTCTCCGCCCCGAAGTGTGAGATCGCCGCTGTGCTAACTCTCTCACACACGCTATTGTACTTTGTCTTGCAAAAGAGTGGTCGCAGGACGAAGAAATGTTTAATGTGCAAAGCCGTCATGCTAGGTGTGAGAAAGTGGCAAGGTTTCCTGCACTGACACAGAAAGCGGTCGATCCTTGATTGCGGCCTTGACAACCGCCATTTCACCTTCTGATCCAGGGGAGAGACAGTGTGGAGGTTGGCTCTCGCCCCGAGCTCTGTGAGATCCAAGCGTGACTTGTCGCAGCAGACAATGCTCATCCACCTACATATATCGGTCAAGATTTCTGCCTGGGCCACAGAGCTTGGGATGGGTCCTTCGTCCACTCCTCTTCCTGCGATCTTGATGCCACTGGCAGATGCGATGCTGCTCAGGGCTGTTCAAATTGGACCAGAGCTCTCTGAGCAATTGAAGAATGCGTCCCAAGATGGGAGAGACGATTTTGCCTTTTGTGACGTCCTGTATCGCTTCAGGGTTCGTAAACCGGTAGTGTGAAGATGCGTTCGGTTCCCGAGCTGTGTTGGCCGTAGTGGGCAGAGCCGCCGACAATGACAAAGACATCAATCGCGGAATTCGTAGCCCAATGGGCAGCTTATCGATTTCGGGGTGACAACAGACACCACTGGAAGGTCAGACACCAGGGAGTCGCGGACGGATTCTCCACCACCCAAAAAGATGCCCATGTGAGGGCATGGCTCGCACTAGCAGCGCTATCGCCACTGTGGGGATGGAGAGTCCGAGTGATGTCTCCCTGGTGTCGGGCTTTCGCCTTCGCTCTAGCTGACAGTGCAGGATTGGTTTGCGAACTGGAAAGGGCCCAAGAACGGAGGTCTGCGGTGAAACTACGCGGGGTTCATCTGGGTTCCTCGCATTCTCTAGCGCTTAGCGACCGGCCCTATCCGTCCGCAGACCATCTCTTTTTTGGTGTACTGCCAGCAAGCAAAGACAGGATGAGCGAAGTGCCGTTCCGTCGCGCCTTCGAAGGCGCCTACAAGGCGAGACCCAGGATGCCGTGGGAGCAGGAACTTGTCATTAGGCCCTCGTACCTCGGAAGCAATTCGAAGCACTTGCCGGTGCCATGTGACAAGTATCCCGCCATGGCTCAGCGAAATAAAGACCTGGGAAGATGCATTGACATAAACAAGTCAAGCAGGGGATGCCTGCCAAGGTGTTTCGATGCAGCAAACTCCCCGACTGCCCGGCAAGTAGTCTCCCGTATCCGACACATCTTGATTCGCACAGGAGATGGTCGGTTTGGGAGTTTCGCTGTGTTCGTAGTCCTGGTCAGGTGCACATTACTTCAATTCGAAAGCTGCTACTTGGACAGCTTCCATGGAGCCACCACTCCATCTGCTTCTCACAGATGAGCGAAGAAGGAGTCATGGGCCCAGCACTCTGAAGCTAGAGCCGCTGTGCCCAAGCTTCCCTATCTCTGGCCGTCCTATGGGCGTGTGAGCCACTTTGCGCCCATGTAAGTGAGCTCGTTTTACATCGGGCAGACTGCCTCCTGCACGAGGCAGATGTCCATTGCACCCTGACCCAACACCAACACTCCACCCACAACACCCTATGCTTGCGACAAGGAGTTCGCTTACATTTACTCCAATCGCAGCGCTTATGGAAACTGATGGTGCTGCTTGTGGCACAAGTGCCTGCATCTGCCGGTGACGTGTAGCATGATTACACTGTGCCTCATTCCACAGTCTTACATTGCTCAGACCTTTTTAGACACTCACCACAGTACGGAATGCCGAATGATTAAGAACCAGATCGGGCACTGCAACAAGCGGCGTCCTGTTCTAGTAGGGCAACTTGTGAGCAGGGAGCCTAAGGACCAGGAAGAATCCTTTCTACGAAATGTGTCGTACTCTCTTGGGTTCCGACGGCATACCTCCTCTCAGCTGCCAAGCTGTAGCTGTCCATTTTTGAAGGTCTCAGATATCATGCAATGTCTGCAGCCATCGAACCGAACTCTTCAAGCAACGGCCTTGGTTCAATGTCGAGGACACCTTAAATTATGCTCCAAACAAGATCGTCGTCGGCTGAGAGCCCTATTCCTGTAGCTAGGTGAAGCCTCAGACCCCTTTCATTGCACTTAGAGTGAGCAAGTAGCCCGTCCTTAGCAAGCGCAATCTATCTGTCTCTGGTGCCCATCTCAAGATCCAGGCGTCGGGAGACAAGCCCATCCTCTCAGTTCTGAGAAGCACGACATGTTGACAACAAGACGTTCAATGCTGGTCGTTTGCATGGAGTCCGCGTTAGCGAGACTTATCCATGTTCATACCACTTGGAGTGCCCATGAAACTGTTAAACTGCATCACTGGTACATCTCCCCTCTCACGCAAACTCGCAAACAAGGTGCACTGGACTCCTGTCTGTTCTCAGCTGGGTCACAG